GGGGAGTGTGCTGGATCACGTTTTCCATCTCAAACGCTAATTTTTAGACTGACGTCTTGACGTCACTCGGTGAACACAGTTGATGCTGAGCAGATTATTCTCTGACAGTCACCGCTCTGGTGTTTGTCTTAGTCATGTGTGCACGAGCTGGCCTTCGGGATGTGCTCAAGTCTACCTACTTTATTCTACTTGTAATATATGCATTGACCCGGTGCAAAGTGTCGGTACGCTACAGGAGGGAGGCGAGTATTGAACTTGAACATCGTGCTCGAGGAGTCTGCGGAGGATACGTCTCTCCCAGAATAATTACATCTCGCCTCCTATCCATTGTAGACCTAGGAAAAAATCCTGCTTTACTAGTCTAAAGAAGAAGAAGAAGCCTAATCCGGCTACTGATGTACTTAAGATGCTGAAATCAAATCAAATTTTTCAAAACGCACTTAAGCCTATGACTTTTGGTAGTGCTGTGCTTATGTTATAAGACCACTTTCACTATTGCAAACGAATGCCACTGGTTCAGGGTAAATTGTTTAGGAATTTATTTTCCATTTTGTGAACCTTTAATCAATGATAAGTTATAAACTTTCACTGTCGCCCTCTCCATATCATCTTAAAATAATGAAATTCGAAATAAAAGAAAATGGCCAGTTAAATACATTGATTAGTCTTAAAAGTAATTCAAAATCCATTGTAAAATGCTAGCAGTTTGTTTAAAGCAGCACCAGTACTAAGTATAAATGGTTGAGATGAATGAGTCCAACGCACTGGTTTCGCGCTTTGTTGGTATTTCGTCTGCTTCAAGTCGGGGTGTGTCGAAAGCAATGAGAGCCGTATGTGCTTTTTGTAGGGACATATCGTCTTCAAATCCAGTGCTCGGTGAAGTTATTGTGTCACACGATTTTGCTGTCCATCTTAATTGTCTGGTAAGACTGTGATGGGTTTTCACTCACGACTCCATTTCGCTTAGTATGCAGCCAGTGGATTGATTCAAAGAACTGACCCCGACGCGCGGTCCTTGTCAAAACGTCGCCGCTATATATTTGGGTTTGACATTGAAGAAGTGGAGGCAGAAATATGTCGCGGTCGTCGGCTTCGCTGTCGTTACTGTGGCAATCCCGGAGCCTGTGTCGGTTGCACCAAAAGAACGTGTCCATACTCTTTCCATCTCCCGTGCCTTTACGACTCTAAAGGCTTTGTTTGTTTCAAAAAGTCATTTGAAGCCTTTTGTTACAAGCACTGTCCAAAACAGGTAGATACTCTCCTCACTGTTTCCTCCCAACCTAATGTGTTCTGCATTTCATCTATCTTTCCATTTTCGAGGATCTCTTGCCACGCTTGCTTGAATGTGGAGATGACCCGCCTATTTGTTGCATCTGTTTGTTCAGTGTCATTCCCGATGATGACAGCGAAAAAAACAGCGCCTCTGTAAATAAATGCTCTAAGGCGTCCGCAGTTCTTCGTAACTATGCGTCTTCCTTGGATCAAGATCTTGTACACAAGCATTCAGTGAAAAGGTTGCGCTTCCCTTTGTTCTTCTATGTTGCTGATGCAGTTGGACTGTTTTGGTTGCTTTTTTTTGCTGTTTTTTGATGATTGGTTAGAGTTTCTTATCATAGGCTCGTACGTCAGTGTTTAGTATGTGGATGCTAAAGTCTTCCTCGGAATTCATTTGCTTGCTTCCGAGATGAGAGTGTTAGACTTGTTCTTGCAGCAATACGTGATAATTTCATCTTTGTTTTTTGACTAATGTGTTTAATGTCTAGGCTTTTAGTTTTCACTCTTTAAGTTGTGAAACTTGTAAATTTTTTACAATTATGTTGTGTTTCTCTTTTTTTTCATAGTCCAAAAAGTGGGGGCACCAATACTTATCCTACATCAAATACTACAAAAGTGTCATTATCAAAACAGCATCTTGATTGGATAAATCGCCTTCTCGATGAGCGTTTTGTTCTCAAAACGGCCCGCAGTTCATTGGTCATGACGATGTTGGA